ATTTATCGACCAATGTGGGATATTGCGAGTTGGAGGAAGGCTACGGTATTCACCATTACTGGATGATACAAAGCACCCAGTTGTTATTCCTCATGATTCAAGTTTGGCTAAGTTAATTGTAGCCGACGCTCATGAAAAGACCTTTCATGGAGGACAGCAACTGGTACTCAAATTTATACGCATCAAGTACTGGATCAGTCGGGTTAAAAATATTGTTCGAGCTCATATACGTAGTTGTGTTCCCTGTATTCGATACTCGGCGACTACGAATCAACAGCTTATGGGAGAGCTTCCGGCTTGCAGAGTGACTCCCAGTAAGCCGTTTCTGAACTCCGGTGTCGATTATGCAGGCCCTATTCACATTAGAGTCTCCAAAGGTCGTGGACAGCGGTCGTATAAGGGGTACATCTGTTTGTTCGTGTGTATGGCTACGCGCGCAGTACACATAGAGGTTGTTTCAGATTTGACGACTGAGGGTTTCCTGGCAGCGTTCAAACGGTTCGTTTCTAGGCGCGGTCACTGTCGTCATATCTGGAGCGACAATGGTACAAATTTTGTAGGTGCTGCTAAAGAGTTGCAGATGCTTTTCAACCAACAAAGTTCGATGTACAAAGACATTGCAGCTGCTCTTGCAAACTCTCAAACAGAATGGCATTTTATCCCTCCTCACGCTCCAAATTTTGGTGGGTTGTGGGAAGCAGGGGTGAAAAGTGTAAAACACCACTTGAAGCGTGTGATAGGTGACTCCACTTTGACGTTCGAAGAATTGTCCACAGTACTTTCCCAAATCGAGGCATGCCTAAACTCTAGGCCCCTGTCCCAGGGTAGTAGTGATCCAGAGGATCCTGTACCTCTGACTCCGGGTCATTTCTTGGTGGGTCATCCATTGGTAATGGTTCCTGACTACAACTATGAAAGTGTCACAGTTAGCACTTTACGCAGATGGCAATTAGTACAGCGTATGGTGCAGCACTTTTGGCGTAGATGGAAACAGGAGTATTTAACTAACTTTTTTCAAAGGCATAAGTGGAATGTTCGTAAACCTGACTGTAAAATAGGTGATGTAGTTTTAATAAAAGAAGATATCTTACCTCCAGCTAAGTGGTTGTATGGCAGAATTGTAGAGCTGCATCCGGGTAGAGATAACTTGACGCGAGTTGTCACTGTTCGTTG